TTTTCACTTCCGGATGAATTTTTGGCACTAAAAAACCTCGAATCCAAGCTGCGACCTAACCTGCGATCGCATAAAGGCCCCATGCGATCGCATAGATACAACATGCGATCGCATGTTGTGCCTAAGACGTCCGAAATTTTGTCTACTTTTCAGATCATTTTGAATCACGTCAATCGGAGTTACGGTTCTCGAGATATGGTCAAAATACTGATAGGGGGTCAAAGCTGCCAGCAACATCCTTTAACTTTAGATTACATATTCTATCTTCGTGTGATCAATTCAATCGAATGTTTATTGACCAAAGCATCTTGAAATCATTCCTCAACATACTCCATAAGTTCCAAGCTCCATTTTAAGCTCCAAACGCGCATCCAACTGCTCCCAAAGCACCGCTCCACTCAAACTATCTGAAATTGACATAAAAACATGAGTAGTACGGGAATTCTTACGAATTACATGAGCTGAACATTATTTAAATAAATGAAATGCAAATGTACAAAATATGATCCTAAATGCTAATGAAAACTAACCTATAAGATGCATAAAATGACATCTAACAAGGGGCGTCCATAAGCTTTAGTGGTGCGACATGGAAAGAAGATGATCCATGTCCCGATGGTGTTTGAGATGTGGCATAGCTGAGATTACCAGATGCACTGTTTCCATCAAAGAGTTTTGCACAAAGCTCTGGAAACAATAATGGGACGATTTTCAAAGAAGCGGCTTTCGGATGTCCCTAAACCCAATTAATGTAACAAAAGTAATATAAGAACAAATGGCAACTATATAAACAAAATACATATAAATATGTGTGTGTGTGTGTGTATATATATATATATATATATATATATATATATATAGGCTTAGTTTATTATATTAAAAGTAATTATTGTGTTATTGTATGCATAAATGTGGGCCAATCATTTTACTTATTTTAAGAAAGTGATTAATACATATTATTGAATTAAATATAATTGATAAATACCATCAAAATCTAACAAAGACACTAGTACATTCTAAAAGAATAATGTTGCTAAGAGGCGTCGTTCAAATTTCGTGGTCCGTTCTTCAAGCATCAGCTTCTGTGGAAACAAATCCAATGAATAAATTAGTGAGAAAATATCCATATTCCATTCCAACATAATTGGAATTCGTGATTCCATTATGATAGAATTGGAATCCATTTACCAATAATTATATTAATTCGGGGCATTCGAACAGAATATGTTCATGAGTATCATAAAAAGCATTCTTTTCTGATTGAATACTATAAACGAAGAAATACCATTCAGTTGAAGCATTTTAGCGAGCGCTTGGTGTGCATCAAAACAACTTTAAATTTCCTGTAAAAATTAAACAATCAGAACAAATTCTCAATTCACCAAAAATATTACACCTTGAAAGAATTAGACAATAAGCCTAAACACATCCAAAATTTCTTTGATTTCTGTCAAACAATCAACCCAAACATCCATTCTATATATTGAAATCAAATCAAATTAAAAAAAACCCATTTGAAGATTAAACTTCATTGGTTTACAGTAAATCAGTCAAAATAAGAAGAAAAAGAAAGAAACCTGTACCCATCGACCTCCTTGTCTCTCGTTCTCACCTCACCTGAAAAAAAAGGAAGAAGTGGCAGAGCCGCCTACTGCCACCGCTGATTTTGCTTGTCCCTGCCTAATCGATTTTGTTGTAATGGAATACACAGTGGTAGAGTGTGTAAAGATCGGAATCAGAGACCACGAAGGGGATGCTTTTTATCGTAATCAAAATTGAAGAAGAACATATAATAGAAACTTATCTGATTAGAGGGGTAGGGCACCGATCGATAACTGCTTCCTTCGAACCAACTGCCGCCTCTTCATCCCGTCGATTGAACCACCCACCTCTCTTAAGGTTATCATAGGCGTTTTTTAATTGTCGTTGATTCAAATCCACGCCATACTTTTCCTTAATGGTTGTTCCTAACTTGTGCCATGATTGTTTGTGAAAACTCAAACCTTTCCTACCCACAGTTTGTACTTCTTCAATACAAGTGAGCAATAAACATTTTGTTTGCTCATTGGTCCATGTATGTTTATCTCCCATTGCTAATAACAACAAAAAAATATGGAATACATACTTTAGCAACAAAGATTAATCATATTTCAACATAATCAACAAATAAGTTTAGCATATTCAACAACAATGCATCATGAATGAAAAAAAACATATAAGCAAAGATTATACAACACAATCAACAAATAAGTTTAGTATATTCAGCGATTTAAGCACAAACTTGCATATAAGCATAAACTTGATCTCCAGTCAAGAAGTACAAGTGATAACAATTCAGCAAATAATATATTTGTATTATAAATTCGATCATTAGATATTATTAAAAAGAATATATCCAACAAGTAAATATCGAATAACACAGTTAATGTTTTAAGTATGAGCAATATTTACTTTTTGAGATTTTTTTTATCATTCCAATCCACCATGAAGAATTCATGGTGACAAATGAACAAAAGAAATCAAATGTAATCAAGGGATTTAAAAGCAGCCTATGATATCATTGTTGAGAATTCATGGAAACTTAAAACAATTTATAAGAAACCAAACATCAAAGTGGAATAAAATTGTTTAATTAACAATTCCCAGTTAAGATTTTATCATAAATCAACATTCAACAAACATTTTAGCAATGATTCTTCACATCTCAGCAACATAATCGATACTCAAATCAGAAATTTGGTACTCAACAACATAGAATCGGTATTCAAATAAGAAATCAGAAAAAAAAACTAACCTGTTGAAGACGATGGCAGTGACGGTCGACTGGGCAGCGACGAGCGGCGACTGACGAGCGGCGACCGGCGATCGGCTGGCGGAGTTCTTCCGTTCTTCAACAGGATCGATGACGAGAAGGAAGATGGAGAACGAGAAGGGAACGCGACTACAATTTTGTCCGCTTTTTTTTTTTGTTTAAATTAGGTTAGAAGTGGTGAGAAGAGCCAAGCCTAATGCTGTGTGGGACAGAGGACGGGAAGAGGTTTTTGAGCCCGAAGCCTTTTAAAAAACAAACTGTTGCAAACTTAAAATTGTTGCGCGTGTGCTGTGCCGCACAACACTAAGAGGTTAGAAGATTTTAAAAAAAAAAAAAAACAAACACCACCTTACTAATATTATTTCATCATAAATGGTTATTTCCTTGTAACACCATTAAGGCTAACCAATGATTCACCACTACCATAATACAGATCTTTGGATATACCCTGTCCAAAGTGAATACACCATATTCATCATCAACTATCACTTAGAATTATTTCATCAAACTACAATATAACATCACCTAAAAAATGCACAATATAATAATATCACAATATATCTAATCCACCTGTGCAACAAAACACATCAACATTATCAGATGTTAGAGTAGAGTTACTCACTTGGCTAGTAGTAAGGATAACTTCGACTAGTAGATTTACTCACTTGACAAAACCCACACTGTCAAAATCAATTTTCAACAGTCTAAATCGAGGTTGGGGTCTGCCAAAAAAGGAGGCTAAATGGAGAGATGGAGCGGCGATTCTCCCTCTATCTTTGATTTTGAGTTTGCAGGTTCCATTGAATGCTTTGATTTTCGTTGTTTATATCTAGGTTTGATTTACAATGTGCCGATGGGAATAATGGGATGGGAGGAATACAGTGGTGGAAAGAACGATGGGTGAAAGTGGTGTCAAAGATCTATTAGGCGGCGAAAATGTAGGATTTACATATGAGGGGATGAACAATGGTTAAAGAAAGAGGGTGAGGACGATAGAGTTACTGTGGGCAATGAGGAAGAAATAAAAGGATGAGTGGGACCCATATTTATTAAAAACATTATTTTAATAAATATGTTAATAATAAAAAAAATAGTTAAAAGAATCCATAAGGGTATATTGGTCATGGACCAAAATTGAAACAAACACAAAAATTAAGTACAATTTGAATTAAAAATTCTTTATAGGGACCAACCACACAAACTAGGGTTGTAAACGAACTGAACGAACACGAACAAAAGCTTGTTCATATTCGTTCGTTTAAGTTAGCCGAACAATCGAACGAACACGAACGGATAAACGAACAAAATTTTCTTGTTCATGTTCGTTCGTTTAACAAATTGTCTTGTTCATGTTCGTTCGTTTATGTTCGTGAACATGCTAAACGAACATAAACGAACGAACATAAACGAACAAAGATAAACAAACACAATTGAACATATATGAACATAAACGAACTATAATATAGTAATGTAATAAAAAAAACAATTGAAAATATATGAACATAAAAAAACTTAAACGAACAAACATAAACGAACATAAACGAACGAACATAATGTTCACGAACGTAAATGAACAAACGAGACCATTGTTCATGTTCGTTCGTTTAACTAAACGAATGAGAATTTGTGTTCATGTTCGTTCATTTATTAAATAAACAAACATAAACAAACTTCCCGCCGAACAGTTCATGAACGGTTCGCCGAACGTTCAGTTCGTTTACGGCCCTAACACAAACTACCCTATGGACGTAGGTTACACTATGGTTTTTGTATTTTATGTTAACTATCGAAACATAAAATAATAATAATAATAATAATAATAATAATAAGGATAAAATACTCATTTAAAGTCATTCAAAATTTTGAATATTAAACCCACAAAAAAGAAAATTACATTTTGGACTAGCGGAGGCGAGCATAGAAAAAAGTAAAAAAGTAGACCGAAAGTGTACGTTTTTGTAAACCATAGGGTTTATTGTATAATCAATAATTTTGATGAAGTAAAATAAAATTCGTTACCCCTCGACCTCTATTATTATACAGTTTCTTGGCAGCTCACGTCGACTCCGCCCGCAATTTCAGAGAAAACAATCCATCATCTTATTACAAGATTCAATAAACCCTTTTTCAGAACCCTAAATTCAAAACCCAACTTACATATAACAGTATCGAACCCCACTCCAATTCGATGCTAATCCGAAGGTTTTGTGCCTCTATCCCCCATTTCAATCTCAGCCCAGTTTCTCTTACGAAAAAACCCGCCAACCATCTCGTCGTCTTCAACAAATTCACTCCACGAACACTAAATTCCCAAAACCCCAAGTCAATTTGTAGTATGGGTGAATCCCGGAGACCCGCAGCCGTCCCAATTCCGGCAGTGGAAACCGCCGACCGAATGGAGTTGTACCGCGCTCTGGAAACATCTGTAGGTTCATCGTTCAGTTTAGAGCCATTAGCTCCAAAGCCAAGACCTCTGATCGTAGTAATCAGTGGGCCTAGTGGTGTGGGGAAAGACTGTTTGATAAAAAGACTGAGAGAAGTTCGAGAAAACATCCACTTTGTTGTTACAGCAACGAGCAGGCCTATGAGAGAAGGTGAAGTTAATGGAAAAGATTACTTTTTTGTTAGTAAAGAAGAGTTCTTAACAATGGTAGAAAACGATGAGCTTTTAGAGTATGCATTAGTGTATGGGGATTACAAAGGGATACCAAAACAGCAGATTAGGGATTACATGGCAAAAGGGCATGACATTATATTGAGAGTAGACATACAGGGTGCTGCTACTTTAAGAAAGATTCTTGGGGATTCTGCTGTGTTCTTGTTTCTTGTGGCTGAAAGTGAGAGTGAGTTGGTGATGAGGTTGATTGACAGGAAGACAGAGAGTAAGGAAGCATTGCTGGTGAGGGTTGCTACAGCTAAAGAAGAGTTGAAGCAGATGAAGAATTTTGATTATGTGGTTGTGAATGCTGAAGGGAAGTTAGAGAATTGTGTTAAAATGGTGGAGTCGATCATGGATGCAGAAAAAGCTAAAGTGTGGCAAAAGAGAGCAATGATGTAGGCACAAATACAATGGCAATGTATGTTTTCTACTTCTTTTATTCTCTAAAATGGTTTCTGGTTGATTAGTAAAGTGGATGCTTGTTTTAAGAGCCGTTGTTATTGGTCATTTTAGTTTTGATCCATATTCTAACCATGAAAACATATAATCCAAAAGCTTGTTTTAGTGAGTTTTTGATTGGATTTTATGCGTTATACACTCAAATTAGTAAAGGAGCTTCTAAGGAAAGGAAATGACCTATTTTTAGTGATTTGTGATAAAACCTAACATTTTCTTGGTGGATTTGCACTTCAAATCAAAGGTTTTGTCCTCAAAGTTACTCTCTTTGATAATGAATTGAAGTTAGGATTCGTGGTGATTAGGGGGTGATGAATAATTCATGATGCATGTTGGAATTGTTAATGGGAAATGAATAAGCGGTTCATATTGTTTGTGAACAAGAACGCTTTCTATTTCAAGTAGTTAAATCTTCAAGAATCAAAGTGTTGACTTCGTGATGTTTTAGTCAAACTTTTGGTTACGTGATTTGTTGATGATATTTTTCGAATATGACGATGGAATTGTGTCAAATGACACTCAATTGTAAATGAATGGAAGAATGTTTGTGTAGTTTCATCAACTTTTAAAAAGTAGGTTGCCTAAATTTAAACTATGTTGTCTAATTTGGTAATTGACAAGAAATCATTCTTGTTGGAAATGAAAAGGGATGAAAAGATTGATGATGTAGTTAATACCTATCATTATTCTGATGGATTTGGGTTGCTTGGAATTAAAAATGGAAAGTATGTTATAAATGTCATTTTTTATGTATATGATATAACTTGTATGTCCCCAAACTCATTATCAACAATGTTCATTCTAGTACTGAAACATAGAATAATATTAAATAGTGTTCCTTTGTTTTGGGATACATACAATCATTAAAAACAAAAAGATGTTACAAAAGTGTTTCTTTGTGTGTTCTCAATTACAAACAAACATAGAAAAATAATGAAGATTGTTTCTTTGTTTGTTCTCCATTTGAAACATACAAACGTAGAAAAATGTTAAAAGGGTTTTTAAGTTTGTTATCGATTGGAAGATACAAACAAAGAAAAATATTTGCTTGTTTGTTCTTAATTAGAAACATAAAAACATAGAACAATGTTTTGTTTTTTCTCGATTAGCAAACATACAGCAACATATGATGCTGTACATCTTTGTTTCTATGTGTTTTGCGACAACACAGTTGTTTGTTATTCAATGTCACTTCTAGACACAAGGGTAAAATAGTCATTTTCTTATATCAAGATTCAAGATTGTTCATATAATCAAAGAAAGACACAATCTTTGTTTATACAACACTTATCATATTTGGAAGAATCAGCAAAGTAATCTTTTTTGCTCATTGATTAATACTTCGTTAAAGATTGGCTTCTCAAAGAACATCAATAAGATTGACAAAATAAAGTTTACACTACTAAAAACTACAAATATTGTTGAATGATTTCAGATATGGATGTGTAGGTTCCAAACGATAATGAGATCACACCAATTGCAATGATTAATATGCACATCGATACCTACCAATACAAACAAACAAAAAAAATTCAATATTTAAATTCATTTTTTTCTAAGACATGTTCACAGTTTATAAAAAGTCACGTGTGATACCTGGAAACGTGTCACATTGCCCCTTAAGATGCGCAAAAAGCAAGCACAAGGAAATATCAATGACTGGAATTACAAAAAAAAAAAATGAACATTAATTAGTTTTTGTAATTTGCTCTTTTTACCAATGTATCTTATTTTTTACCCATCATATAAAGTACATTGCTATTAAAAACATAGAAAGAGAACTTACCACCAGCATTGAGAGTAAAGATCCGATCAATGACATCACCAGACCTGTGATAAGAAGAGTGTGTATAATAATAGTTTATCCAAAATCATTAATTTGTAAAAAATATAATATTTTGTTTTGTTTGCATTTTTAGTAGAAGGATAGATTGAAATAGTTAATGAAATGTAAGATGAAAGAAAGCTTACCAAAAAAGGGAACAGAAAGGGCCACGATTAAAGTAGAGATCACTAATGCTGTTCTAATGAGGATTGAGTACACGTGTGACTTTGAATGTTTTGATGGTATTAATTCCTCCAAACTTTTAGCCACTGGGGATATTACTAACGCATATGTGATTCTTTCTTGTTAAGATAAAATACAAAATAACATTCAGACAAAAACAAGGAAGAGTTGAAGGGTTTTAAGAGGCTTTAAGAAAAAGGATATTTGGTTACTGGAGTGATCACCTAAAAGAGAAGAAAAAATCGACAGAAATGAGTAAAAAAATAAATAAAAAGAAATTACACAAGTAAGTAAGAATTTATATACCGTAGCCCAAATAGCAATCTTGGAAGCAAGTAAATTTGGCGGGAGGTTGAGAGTGAATTGTGATTCTGTTGATTCTCCAAACATCATGTATCCCATTATGGCAACTCCAGCATAAATCAAAGTACATATCCCAAAGCTTCAACAACAACAAAAAAAAAAAAAAATTACCATTTTACGGTTTTACCCTTTTGGGTAATTAAGTTTTGTTATTTTTGAATTACCTGGCTAAAATGACTAGAGGATATTGACTTTTCTTTTCCATGGACATATAGATATTAGGAAGAACAGCATGTCCTGCATAACAGTAACCATACATCCCAATAGACACAGGCAAAGTCGATAGATTTAACATTTTTGTAGTTTCCATTTGAAACCCAATGTTATCCACCAAACCGATCCAAAACAAGGAACACACCAAAATAATTATTACAAAAACTCCTCCAGCTGCAACAACAACAAAAAAAGAAAAAAAAAAAAATACAGTTATTATTATTCTACTTATATATATATATATATATATATATATATATATATATATATATATATATATATATATATATATTGTGAACTAACCGGAGATGTAACTGAGAACACTCAAGTCGCGAAGCCAAACTGTAGGAAGCACAACAAGAGTGATCATAATTGCAAAGAAAGAATGTGAATTTATTTGGTGTCCTCCAATGATTAGATTTGTATTTGGGAATAAAGAAGATATGTTATCACTCTCCAAGATTATGAATTCAACACATGATGCCTGTTGAAACCAAATTCAAAACCAAGCAAGTGATCATGAGATTATACTTATAGAATAAACAATGCATATATAGGATTTTGTTAGGGATACTTACATACAACTCCACATACAAAACTATCTGCAACAAAAGAATCCATGGTTAATTAATTAACAATCATTTATTTATTTTTTAAAATATATATAAAATTAAAAATTAAACTTACGGAGACGAGTAAGCGACCGGGTATGCCGAAGGCGGCTTCACCGATATCTGGATAAGTCTGAAGTCTGGGGTGAGTATCTAAGCAGTCACGGAGGAGGAGACCCGTGTAGAAACAAAGAACACAAAAGATAAACATGATAGATAATCCAAGCCATCCACCTTCTTTCACTGCATATGGAGTAGAAAGAAGTGCTACTCCACAAAGTAGATTTACACCTACATCGTTACAAATCAACATTTTTCTTATTTGTTGTGATTATGATATTGTTAATCTTGCACATGATGATTCAAGTTGGGGTGTTGATATCATTGCTTCGTGTCATGTTACATCATCAAGTGATATCTTACACTATCGGTCACTTTGGGATGTTAAGATGGTTAATAACAAGTTATTAAAGGTTGTTGTCATTTGGGATGTATGTTTGAAGTTTGATACTAGGATGAAGTTGATTTTACATAACCACAATCATGTTCAAGATATGAGACTACATATGATATTATTTGGTTCATATATCACTTTTAATGAGTTATGATGTTGTTTTAGTCAAATAAAATTAAGGTATCAACTTCAATTGGTTTAGCTGCTAACCTTGATCTTGAGGTTGAGAAGATGTTTTCCTTCTTGGTGAATTGGACAAGAAAATCTACATGGAGCAACTTAAAGGTTTTTGGGTTATGGGATATGAGGATTATGAATGTAAATTTTAAATTTGGTATATATGATTTAAAGCAAGTATCAAGATGATAACTAGTAAAAGGAATTTGAATCGGTTACAAGAAAACATAGCTACTAAAAAACGACTTTAGATCATTGTTTTATTCTTTCAGAAAGGTTTAATTGGTTTATTTCCACATCAGAATGAATTACTCTCACAGCTCTATAAATACAACTACTTAAATGCACAACTAAGTTGTTCGATATATTGACAAAGGATTTAGCATGAGAAAAGTTCGAGCTTTGTTACTCTATATTGCGGGATAGAAAACTCTTCTTCATAATAAAAAAAGAAGAATTTGTTGGGTTTTTTTTTCCTTTGTTATTTACCCATGAGGAAAGCCCACCAAATAAGCTCAAATAAAAGGCTTCTCAACCCGTGTACTTTTCTATATATGTGGAGCTTTTTTTTTTTGGGGTAGTAAGAAGCACTCAAGAGAAATAGAGAGAAAGTAGAGAAAAAAAAAAAAAAAGACAGAGCTCTCATTTTTTTGTTTTGAAAATCCTGCCTCTCTTATTTGTGGTAGTGGCTTTAAGCGGCCTAAGAGGTCCCGTGGTTTTTGGTTTTTACTGGTTTTCCATGCTAAAGTTTGGGTGTTCAAATTTGTGTTTTGGGCTGATTATATTCGCTTTTAAAAGGTTCATTCAAATTTTTCTCAAATGACTTTTTTTTAGGCTGATGATACTTTAAGAAGACATTAGTAAACAGGTTACTTGTGGCAGAATATATAAATTTTGTGTAATTAATTTGAATGAAGAAACATATATACATACCATTAACCACAGCTTGGGCGAAGGAACTCTGTTTAATCTGAGATTTCTGATGCTGTGACAACTTTCTAGCAGAAGATGTCCATTGAGAATGAAGTGAAAGATCAGAAGGATGACGTGATGGATGATGGTTGTCTGCTAAAGGTGGCAACAGAGGGTTGCCTAAACTGGTGGTTATTTTGGAATTTTGTCTCCTTTTAGGTGGTGATGAAAGGAATGAACCACCTAATGATGATAATGGAGGAGACCCCAGAAAGCTCAGACTCGGAGATGCTACAGTACCCAACAGATCCATCGACTTCCTGAAAATAAAAATAAAAATTACAAATATTGATCACACTGATGAAATTATGCCTCAATGACGAAAGCGGAAGGGTTGTTGGTTATACCTGTAACTTCGAGGCCATGATGGATCCGAAGATTGAGGTTCATCACCGGCATTATTAGAGGAATCACAGTCCTGCTCATCATCATTGGCTTTATTCCAGGAATCATCGTCATCACCTCCATCAAAATCCTTATCTCCATCTCTATCTAAATCCTTATCTTCATCGATCTCCTTGTTTTCGCTATCGACTAAAAGGATGCAGTCGGATTCCCCCGTAGTCTTCATTACCTTTCAATCTTCAACCTTCGATCCTTACAAAATCGCGTCTCTTGAGATAGGCTTCAAAACAGTATCCTGAAAATACACGAAGTTCTTAAATCAAATCGTAAGTCGATTCCCATGGAGTTCTAGAGACACAATTGAAAGCTATAAAATCGTACAATGAACCACGAAATAATGTGAAACGATATTCGATTACCAAATAGCGATCACTAGGGTTTTAATGTGAATTTCGAATTCATTAGGGAAATGTAACTCTATTTGATTGCGATTCTCTACAACATGGATGCATGAAGAGATACGTACGCAGTATTGAAAGGGTTGAAATTGAGGCAAAACTATTGCTGTTAATGTTCATACATGCAACAAAACTCTAACAGTTTCACGGATTTATAGAGCGAGAATCTTCTATTGATGCGAAAATCTGGGAAACAGAGGAGAGATAAGAAGAACAGATGGAGAGTGCTCTGTTTCGGAATTCTGCTAGCAACTCTTATGTATTATATTATATAGTGTAGATGATTGGATAGCAAGGCAGCCTAATGAAATAAAAATAAAAATTATAAAATTATCAAGAAAAATTCGATCATAAATAGACATAGAATTTTATAATTTTTGCAATTTTTTTGCCATTGGTTAGGGTATGTCACCATTTGTTGCCTCCATTTTTTTTTAAATTAGAAAAATGTAATATTTAGTATTTAAAATAAAAATAATAATTACATAAACATTAATTAATATAATATAATATTTCATTAAAAAACATAACAATACATTTAATTTAAAAAACATAACATGAAATTTAAAATAATTAAAATAATGAAATAGAAATGATAATTCAAATAACATAAAAGCTTTCAATAACATAATCTTTAATATCATTGTTTAAGGCTCATTCAAATCAATTTGATTAACTCTAAAGCCAGCAACTCAGTTTGGTCATGTTTCTATTTTGTTACAAGAATAAAGTAGGAGAAAACTTAGTACCAAATGCTTGGCAATCTTTTGGTAGAGTTTATATATGATTTGGTGCTTAACCTGGTAAACGAACAAAAAGGGGTTCTTTCCGAATTGTATATTAGTTTATATGTGTTTATAGGATTTATAGGTAATAAGGTATATGATTTATATGTAAATAAGATGGGTATATATTTACTAAAAGTGGATAAATATTTAGAAAGGGGAGATTTTCTTTTTATCCTTTGGAACTCGACGACGACTTCTCACCGATGGAGGATTGCTAATGATCAGGGGCGGTGTTTGCCGCTGACATTAAGTGTCACATGGGATGCCGACGACATCATATTGTCCACACCGTATAACTTTATAATGAGACCTATCAATCTGATACACAATACGACTGACACGCCACGAGTTTTTCGTGTACGGCGTTTAAAAATTCGTGTTTCATGTATGTTCGTGTCGACATGAGTTTTAAATTCGTGTTTTGTGTATTATACATGTTAAACACATTTACATATGTGTAAGACACAAATTAAATTCGTATAATACACGACATGTATAAACACGGTTATAGACCTAGAGACATAGGACACGCGACGCTTACATACACATATATACACAGATTAAATGCATGTTTTTCTAGCTTAAAAAATGGTATTGGATAATGCATGTCTAAATTCGTGCAAATTAATGTTTTCATGTAACATGGTTAAAAATGTGTATATTCATATCGTGTCACGTGTCATACTGATTAATTATGTGTCATGTTTGTGTTTGATACTCAAACATGTTTTACAATTAGTGTATGTTGTGTTTGTATTTCACAAATTCGTATCTTGTAAATTCATGTATGACATGTATACACGAACAAAAACTTATAATTGAAACTAAAATAGAGAACAATGAAATAACACGGTACATATATAAAAACTTAATGGTGAAAATAATTAATTGACATAAAAATATTTTATAAAAATAATAGTTATAATTTTCAAACATGTATAACATATGGGAATATGACTTATTAAGGTAATTAACTTTTCAGTATGTTTACATCTGGGTAATTATCTTTTTTTTGTATACATCTAGGTAACAAACTTGTTGGAAGTGTTCACATATGATCATTATGTACAAAAAAATAGTTACCTAAATATGAACAAAACGAAAAATAAAAATTAAATTAGACGAATGGTCCCTGTGGTTTGGGGGAATTTGTGTTTTTGTCCCTAACTTATTTTTTTAACTTGGATGGTCTCTACTGTTTATTTTTGTTGCGCGTTTGGTCTCTGTCTTACCTAAAAAGACTATTTTGCCCTTATTAATTTATTTTTTAATTAATTTTCTTATTTATGTATTTATTTTTTATATATTTAAAAAATTAATATACCTCACATATCATTCGTATAATTTAATTTTTACTTTTAGGTAATCTTAGGGGCCATTTGATAGTCTTTTTAGGTAAAACATGGTCCAAACGCGTAACAAAAATAAACAGTAGGGACCATCCGAGTTAAAAAAATAAATTAATTAAAAAATAAATAGTAGGGATCATCCGAGGAGATACAAATATGTGGGGTCTATTAATTTTTTTAAATATGTAAAAAAATAAATGCATAAATAAGAAAATTAATTAAAAAATAATTTAATACGGGCACAATAGTCTTTTTAGGTAAGACAGTAACTAAACGCGCAACAAAAATAAACAGTAGAGACCATCCAAGTTAAAAAAATAAGTTAGAGACCAAAAACACAAATTCCCCCAACCACAGAGACCCTTCGTGTAATTTAATTTTTATTGTTCATATTTGGGTAATTATTTTTTTTGTACGCATCTAGGTAACGAACTTGTTGAAAGCGTTCACATCTAGGATTTAACCTGCTATAGCAGGTCATAATGGTCATATGTGAACACTTCTAACAAGTTTGTTACCTAGAGTACAAAAAAAAAGATAATTATCCAGATATGAATATACCGAAAAGTTAATTACATTAATAAGTCATATTCCCGTAACATATCATATAAAGACAAACACATATACAAAAACATATGACAAAACGTGTTCATAATGAATTATCCAGGTTTCTTCTTTAAACTAATTCTTACTCTAAAAGTCAATATTTTCACTACTTTTTATGCATCGTAAATACATATATAATCTTAACTACCATGATTGCATATGGTGATCTTGATGGTGACAAAAATATAAAGGGAAAATTGCAAAACTAACCTTTTTCTTAATTACTTTTAAGTATTTAGCTAAAAATTAATATTTATTTCAAATTAGCCACTGAAAACGTAGGTGATTAAAAAACCTATGGTCAACGCAAGGTTAACGATGGTAAACGTTGTGTTGACTACTATTTTGGGCAATGAGCTACTATTTTGTGGGCCGTCTACTGTTTCAAGGTCTGCTATTTTTGCTTATTTTTTGTGTTTTTTAACTTAAGAAAAATTTCTCAATGGAGCCTTCAAAGAATAAACAAGTATTTATTTGAATCTTCGATTTTTTTTCTTGTTTGCGATGAGATTTAATACATATGTTTTTTTTTGAAAAGTCGCAAAAAAAAAAAAAAAAAAAACTCATAGGCTTCATAAGATACCTATGGTATACAATGAGTCAATGCACAAAACATGCATTGATTGCTTGTACTTCGTAGGTTTCTTACGAAGCCTACGGTTTTCGTAAATTGTTTTTCATTTTTTTTGTTTGTAGTCGTATACAATAACATATAATTATGATTTAGTGATTTTTTTACAAAAAACGCAAAAAAAATACAAGGGAAATCGTATGTTTCGTAAGAACCTACGATGTACAAGCAATCAATGCATGTTTTGTGCATTGACTGCTTGTACACCGTAGGTTCTTATTAAACCTACCATTTGGGAAACCGTAGACTTATCAGAGGATACGGTAGGTCATTTAGAAACCTACGGTTTCGTATGATATTTTGGAAAAAAAAATCTTATATATATATATATATATATATATATATATATATATATATATATATATATATATATATATATATAGAATCCGTAGGTATCAAGACGAAACAGTAGACGATTTGAGATACCTACTATTTCAATGGCTATTTTAGAATAATAATATTTTTTTAGCTAAAAAATAATTTGTAATTAATAAAATTGACTAGTTTTAGTCATTTCCCCGATATAAAATGAACGTTAACCACCCTATTCCAAATACACATACAATATATCTTTTCATAATATTGAATGCCTTCTTATAGGACACTTTAACTCCGATAATTACACATGTCACATGATGATGGTGACAAAGCCATAAAATGAATATTACTCACCCAATTCCAAATTCTAAATATAAAATAAATAAAATTTTTCAAAACATTGCATGTGTTTATTCTAAAACACATCAATTCCGATTGTTACATATGGTGAAGGTGACAAATCCATAAAAGTGAACGGTACTAGGCAGTATCGAAGATCACATGGGCAAATATTTTTTATTGGTAAGTGAAGTGACAAACAGTTATTTTACTGAAGAATCGAAAATTAAAATTATATATATATATATATATATATATATATATATATATATATATATATATATATATATATATAGAGAGAGAGAGAGAGAGAGAGAAGAGTTATTTGGAAAACAAAAAAACCCTAACAAAAACCCTAAAAATCATAAAAATACATAAAAAAAATACCTAGAGATCACAAAACTTTTTTTTGACATTTTTTATGAAAAAATCGCAGGTTTTTAAAGAAATTCGCTGAAAAAAATTTTGAAAAAAAAAAAAATTTATAAAAAAAAAATTTGATTTTTTTTTTCAAATTTTTTTTCAACGAATTTTAATAAAAAGCTGCGATTTTTTATAAAAAAAATTAAAAAAAAAAGTTTTGTGATCTCTAAGTATTTTTTTTATGCATTTTTATGATTTTTAGGGTTTTTTTAAGGGTTGTTTTCCATAGAACCTAAATATATATATATATATATATATATATATATATATATATATATATATATATATATATATATATATATATATATATATATGAAAAAGTGAATATACCCCTAATGATATATAAGCTTAGGTACTCAAACTCACCATAATTTGTCGTTTTGTTTGATATATTCTTTATAATGTTATTGAACTTCAACCCCTAACTTGATTTACTTTTAAGATTTTCGAAATTTCACTATTATCTTACTCTTATATTACATCTTTTTTCCGAACACCTACTAGGCTATATATATTATAGATGAAAATGAAAATTATATAAGAGGAAGATAAATGTGAAATTTATAAAAATCTTAGAAGTAAATCAAGTTAGAAGTTGAATTATAAGAACATTGGACAATTACTATATATATATATATATATATATATATATATATATGATGCAAAACAATATGGTGAGATGATATATATATATATATATATATATATATATATATGCTTAGGTTATTGTGTTTAAAGTAATTATTGTGTTATTGTATGCATAAATATGGGCCAATCATTTTACTTATTTTAAGAAAATGATTAATACATATTATTGAATTAAAA